AACAGAACGCAATTTGTCCCTTAAAAGAATGGGTAAAGGCCCTGCGTGGCCCTGAGTAATTAGTTTAAACTGCAGCATGTCTGTCCAGGAGTGGCCCTGCTGGAGAGTGTGTCCTCTGATAAGACGCCCTCACTTTGCTGCTCGTACCTGGGATACTCCACAAAAGCCCTTACTGATGATATCAATAAACATTATGTTAGATGAATGGGAATAAAGGAAGGTGGTTGGTTTTCAAAGTGTTTTTGTGTTTATTTAGATCCCCTGAGAAGTCACTGTGGAGAAGTTACTTTCCGTGAAGAGAATTGAAACTTTTTTTTGGGAGGGGTGGTGCATTCACTGTCAATCTTAGGCTTGTGTGATTTTAAAAGAGCAAAAATGTCAAGGGGAAAAATGCTTGTTGCTTATTCTCGGTGTGCACTGAGACACAGACAGAGACATATGGCAGATCCACGGTGGCCGCCTCTGTGGTGTGGTGCGGAGAGAGAGTGTCAACAACATGGAGGCACTGGTCCATGGCAGTGTGCTTAGTGACACATAATACTGGTATTGCACAATCTTCCCCTGACCCATTTTTGTGTGACACACAGAGAAGTCAATTGTCTGCTCTTTTCATGCACTCAAGATGAAGAGAAAAAATGTGAGAAACCGAAATATTTTGCTAGTGACTTCGGTGGAAGCTGATACTTTCAAGCTTACCCTTTCAAATTGGAAGAGAAACACTCGAGAAAGTAGGAGTGGGTAACTTTCCTCGCCCATATCTTCTTCACTGTTGTTTGCCTCGTCATCAATATGAGGGTAGGATTTTTCTGGTACTCTCACTCAAAAACGTTGGTCTTTCCACTATGACCTACGGAAATGACTAGAATAAGGTTGGGGACCACCCCACAGCCAACAGAAGAAATGGTGGAATAGATAGTGGGAGAGTGAAGGCAATAGAAATATTATTAGGTAGTCGAAGTCATTGGGGGAGGTTCGAAAGAGAGCACAAGTGAATGAGAGACAACGAGAAGCTGGATCTTTTTTCCAAGAACATTTTAATTGGCTTTTGGGCTTCAGTAGCACCTAATTAGCATGCTTGTTACACGCGGACACCAGGACCTAATTGGCCTGAGAGGAGAAAGCGGCGTCGCCCTGAAAGGAAAGAGCAGGACTCATTTGAAGGTTCGCGGCTCCAATAGCAGCATGTTGGGAGGCTACTTGGCAAACAGTTGGAAAAAACTATTTGCTGCAATTGCAAATACTATTTATACTTTCCTGCTGTTTTTATTGGTGTTGCCGAAAGGGAACGTGTAATTAAATGTATTGCGTCAACAAAGTTCACGTAACTGTATGAGGTTTGTTGAAAGCAATGATGTTAAGTTGAACCAATGTTTTTAAATGTAATATTATTGTATTCAACCAACCTCATACAGTTATGTGAAATCTGTAGACATAATACATTTATTTAAAGTCAACGGTTTAGTTTTTGCAGTGTAAATCAACAACTTACCTGTATTTACACATTTTCACGATGTAGGAAGGAAATGTAAATGCATTGATCGTGAACTACTCAGTGTGCCTAGTCGGTATGTGAGCGTCCTGGGAATTAATCAGATCGGGGGAGAGATCATTCACAGGCATGACCTAACCTGTCCACATGCAGTGCCGTGCTCTACATCAGGGGATATGCTGAATGCACACCTAAACACAACAGCACCATGAACTCACCAGGGGCGAGATCTCTGATTACATTTACTGTACAAACTGTAGCAGCGGGATGGGATGCATGGTACATCAAGAGCTCATTACGCTCCTTACATGCAATTAATCAAACAATGTAAACACAGTTCGCCTCAGCCACACACAGACAGAGCCGGATTCTCTGGTGGCAACTCAAATGCAGTACACACACAGTACGAGTCAATAAATGAACGTCATATATGGAAATGTGAAGATTCACAGCCAATCTGGAGATTATGTAAGAGTCGGGGGTTCCTGCTGAGACCACACCACAAGCAGATATATCTTCCTCCTCTCTGTCACACTGTTAAGCCTTTAGTCTCATCCTTTTGTGAAATGCACACACTGTGCAGCAAATGTGACGCTCTGTAACAATGAAAGAATTACATGAAGGACGACCGTGCGAGTAGAAACACAGCTCTGTGACTGAGATACTCACGAGGCTGGGCATGCACACGTCCCTTCAACTGTGATGAGCTTAAAGAGGCAATCTCTACTTAGTGGAGTTTGTATTATAAGAGCAGGAGGCCAGTGTTAGTCTGGAGTCATGTCCTATTAATTAATAAATAATGAATTCATTGGTGGAGGTTTTATTTAAAGAGCAAGATGACAACGTTAGAGTCATGCCACATAAACTCATTATAATTCAAATCGTTATGCAGGTAGACACACTAGTAGAGACGATGGCTTGTAATTATCTTTTAACAAATCTCAGCTGACCTGCAGGTTGCTGGGAGTTTGTTCCAGATATTTGGAGCATAATAACTGCTTCTCCATGTTTAGTTCTGACTCTGGGGACAGAAAGCAGACCAGTCTCTAACCTGTAAACATTGTTTTGTATTCTATGACTGGATATATATTATAAAGATATAAATATATATACATAGTGCTTCACTTGATCCCCCACCTCATCAGCCTTTGTTATATGATGTTATATGAATGATACCTAGGATATTATTGTCTCTGTTTCTCAGCTAACCCAGCCTCAGCACCCCCTAATATAGCAGACAGACAACAAACAATTGAGACATGGTAGAGAAATCGGTAGAAACTACTTCCCTTTTTGACAGATGTCAGAAGAAGAATGAGCCTTACAATTCCCACGAACACACCCATTCCCCATCTTCTTGATTTTTCCTTTAGTTTGTTTCTGAGTACAGCACCAGCCCCATATGTGGGCTCCATTTGATAAAACCTTTACAAAATGTTATAGTCTGGATCAAACGTGGAAGTTAAAGAAGTGAAATCCAGCATCTTCCGTGCTCCAGAGCTTTAGGGAAAAATACATCGACTTTGAGGTCTAAGTGAAGAAGCCATACAGGGACACGCTGGATAAACATGATGGAATAGGATGAGGACTGTTTTTAAAAGCTTACAAATACACTTCAAATTGCACTTGAGCTCATAGGACTTGACTGTGCAGCTATGATTTTGTCTGTATATATTTACATTTTGTTTTACATATCATATTGTAAAAGAAAGAAAGGTATTCTTTTTAAATGTCAGATGTCTCATCGGAGCAATATTTGCATTTAGGTTGCCTGACAGTCCCACCGACACAATTGGACTCCACCATCATGTCTGCCACGCTGTGTGGAGGGGAAAGTGCAGCATTATACAACGGAGCATCTCCAAGCATCAGGCCATGACAGTGACAATGAGGCTTGTCCAGAAGTGCCACCTCTCTCTGCCTGTCTCTGTCTTCCTCCAAATCTCTTGTTCTCTCTCTCTGTGTCGTATGCACGCATCAAAACCCACACACACACACACACACACACACACACACACACACACACACACAGAACATCTTTATTAGCCCTCTGTATGCAGGCTACGCTCAGCCCGAGATTGCAGGACTGACCCCTCGCTGTGAGCTTTACAGGGGAAATGTTTACCCAAACCCCCCAGAACATGACATTAACCTCTTTCTAGATAGAAGACAAACAAGAATCTCTAGGACCATCATGACAATCATCTCATTACCGAGTTGCGGGGGGCAGTGAGGAGCTGGGGGGGGGGGGGGTTCTCCCAGGGACACAGCGGTGTACCTGTGTGGCTAACATCCATCCAAGTACCTATGAAATGCAGCGAAGGGCAAACAGCTGATTAACCCAACAGTGAAGAACAATATAAAGTCCATCAACACCCCTCCTTTTTCAAACATCTACTTCCTGGCTCTTCCCTCCTGTCTCTCTGCTCCCTCCCCAGAGATTTAGATGGATATCCTGAGGCTCTGATTAAAGCCCCGACAGTGGAGGGTGTTTTGGTTTGTGGTGAAAGGAAATGGGGGCTGGGGGGGGGGGGGGGGGCAGTGAGGAGCCTGGGCAATAGAGCAGTTTCTCGTTTTTAGGGACCCGAGGGTGTAATTCAATCACACCTCGATAATTCCCCTGATGCAAGAGTTGAATCCCCCTCACACACATCAAGTACTGATAGACACCACAAGCTTACACTGATCCCAGATTGAGGGTCTCCTCCTGGGTGGGCTTAAGAGCAACTACTGGGTACGTTTTACCTGTGTCGTTTGAAGAGCCCATTATTTTAATTGAAAAAGTTACCTGCCCGCCAAAGGCGAACAAGAACAGGGGAGAGAATTAAAACAAAAACACCAGATGGTGATATACATGGTTTAAAATGATTGTTTATACTTACTGTTTGATTACATGTGATAATGAGAGTGGGATTCCTCAAGGCAATTAGTGTCTGCGGCAGCCATATTGTGAGAGGACAGGGGAAGGACGGCACAGGCTGTTATGAAGGAGCGCTTATCAAATATCTCCGGCGGGGTGATTAGTGTAATAAGACACTGCAAGGTGAGATAGGCCACTCACACTCCTTTAGTATGTCTGCGTGTGTGTGCATGTCTGCGTGCTTGTGTGTGCGTAGGCAAGTAAGCAAGTCAAAATGTGTGTGAAGGCGAGCTGTAGAGAGAGGCTGAGAGGGAGTCTGAGAACAGATAAGTGTCTTTCCATCTGTTTCCATTTCCGTGTGTGTGTGTGTGTGTGTGTGTGTGTGTGTGTGTGTGTGTGTGTGTGTGTGTGTGTGTGTGTGTGTGTGTGTGTGTGTGTGTGTGTGTGTGTGTGTGTGTGTGTGTGTGTGTGTGTGTGTGTGTGTGTGTGTGTGTGTGTGTGCTTGAATGGGTGTCTTAATGTATACGGTGTCCCCATGTGCCCCGACGTGTACAAGTGTGATATAATCCCTATGTTAAATTGGGTTCCCATGCCAGGCTGGCTGCCCCGGGGGCTTTAGCCTGTGACAGAGGGCAGATCGGGGGCACTTACCCCTGGCAGAGTCTTCTGTTCATGGAGGGCGCTCTGGGCCTTCAGTGCTGACTCTCTGGCACAGTATGTTAGAAAGGCACATCCTAGAATATCAGGGAGACAGGAGAGAGACAGACAATGAACCACCATTAATATTAAAAAGAAGAAAAAATGCTACAGTGACTAGGAATATATGGCTTTGTGTGAAGACAGAGGATATGTACTGTAGTGTTTGTTGTGCTTTTTAAGATGCTAAACAGTCTTAGTTAATACATTAGTCTCAGGGGGCTTCACAGTCTGTACAGCATACACCCTCTGTTCCCTTGCGGCGCACAAGGAAAAACTCCCAAAGAAAAATGGAAGACACCTTGGGGAGAGCAACAGGGGAGGGATTACTCTCAAAGGACGGACATACGTGCAATAGATGTCATTTGTAAAGATTTAAAAAGATAATAAAATTACAACATAGACATCCCGAACGATAATGTGAACATATATAAAAAAAGACAGACCCCGCTAAAATAAAAGAGTGGACGTCAGGCAAATTATGACTGTAAACTGTACCGTAGTAAACTAATCCGAAAAAGTCGTATAGGTCGTTATGATTTATGGATTTGAGCATTTAGTACCCATTAAATACAATGTGTAACGTTAAAGGATGATTGCTAAAGTTTACAGCAAAAGCAGTGGAACAGATTAAAAAAAATTCAACTTCATAATCATCTTTCTTTATACTCAACGGTCTTGAGTTTCATTGGATAGCTCTACCATTAGAGTCAGTTCTAAATGCACCATGTAAAGCCGGTGTAGCAGCTCTCCATTGATATGTGTTCAGAGATTAAGCATTCCTCTAAAAGCCCCATTGTAACCTTGCAAATGGACCCAGAGATTTGTGATTCCCGCTAAAGTAATTCCCATCTACGCGAGCCATAATATAAGACTTATTGGAGTTTTACAAGCTATTGCCAAAAACATGTATTATATTCAAATGGAGTTCATACACTGCGCTGACAATGGGAATGTGGCTCTCTGAAGTTAATAGCTCTATACCCTCAGAGAAAATAACATGCTGGTTGAGAAACACGATTACAATTTTACACGTTTCTTTCAAAATATGACAAGCCCTTAAGATTAGATTTACCGAACTCATGCATATTTTAACTGTGTTCGACACATTGTATTTTTGTTGTTGTTTTTCCGTTCGACTTAATATAGTGAGATGGATTTAGCAAAATGAAACATGTCCAATATAAATATGTAAAAACAGGTGTGATCCTGAAGGTGAGGTTTAATTTGTGAGTGCTGATGGAAAATGCTTAGTCACCCCAGATCGGTGCGTTATCGTTTTCTTTTCATTACTACAAACTATGCATGATGAATGATCACTTTCATAGTTATTGAACCGGGCACAGGAGGAAAAAGTCAAACTGTTTGCATATTGTTTTAGCTGCCAAGTCATTAAAATCCTCCAGTGATGAGCTGAAGCTCTACCCCCGCACATCTCTGGAGACTTTTCCTTAAGTTGGGAAATCCAGGAGAGCAGAATGAATATGCATCCGTAAATAAGGCCCCAACAAAAATATGACAGCTTTCATTAAAGGGTGAGTGGTTGCTCTGTTGCGCGCTTGGCAGAGCTGACAGTGGGTGACCCCGTTCAGAAGAGGTTTTGCACTGTGCAGCATAATTTCCCATTACTACATGTCACACCTGCTGCCAAAGATTCCCACGGGAGAAACAAGACTCACACACACACAATTACACGTAGAGATGATACACACCCATGCAGCACCCATCACCCCAAAACCCAGCTACACACTCTGGCGCTCGGCCAAGAGAGCTCCCTTTCACGACAACCTTCACCCACCTCCACAACTAGGCAGTTACTCAAGAGGAAAAGCCACCTAAACGACGCTGATGAAACAGCATGCCACACAGCAAAGCAGGAAAGTTTGGGAGTCTGGGGAAACACCCTTCATCCTTTATGACATTACAAAACTGTGGGACATGAACCCAGGCATCCCACAGAGGCACGTCCTTGCAAAGGCTTGTGGGAATTTTAAGCTGTTGCTGACACACTTCTGCCACGGCCCTGACCTCCTCTGGTATATTTCACCAAGACAATCTAATAAACATCCGGATGAGATTGTATCACATGATTCATTGTTAGTAGTTATTTAAACGTTTCCTAGCAACAAAGTTAACCAGTTATATTGAATTTTTCCCTTTAAGAAAATTAGGCTTGTCATTTTTAGAAACTGCAAAAAGTGTCCATCTTCACGTGGCATCAAATCAATCACACTTTAGGATGACACAATTCTAGAAATTCCTCAAGAATTTCCATTGTTTACTGATTCAATTGTTCTTATTGTGTTTATTTGCACTGATAGAAACACAAGCAAATGTACTTTTATTGCGCACAGTATTGAGGTAACTTTTAATTTACTTTAATTTCTAACTTTAATCTATTTTTTAACTATAGTTACAAGTTATCTCAAATAAGGATTTAACTTGCAAAGATGTGATCCATTTTCTAAATATGATACAAAAACTAACCAGCAATTCAAATCCACTCAAACCATCAACAGCAAATGCTAACATGTTAATACATTAGTAATCCAATAGTACACTTCTACTAAAAGTGCTTTATCATTATTGTACTTCAAATACTTCTATACTTTTACTGTTTGAATGCACAACTTGTACTCCATACTTGTAATGGAGCATCTTCCTAGTGTGTTTTTTAGATGTAATGATGTGAATATTTGAGACCCGAAAAACTGCACCACCGTTGAGTTTTTCCAGGAGCATGCTCAAAGCAGATGAAACTGCATCTGAAACAGTAAAGTGTTCTCTTCCCACTGTAGATGTATGTCGTTGCCTCTAGAGGAAGAAGCATGTCATACTATGTGTTCAAATTGTTTGTTGAACTGGACTTTTTGTGCAAGGTAGCTTTTATTATTCCAGCCAGCTGTGTGGCTGCCTCAGCTTCATCGCAGTGGTGGGAAACCGACGGGACTTTGGGAAAGCTTTGCCTCCAGCAGCGCTGGCTCAGAGGACATCTGAAGCCCAGAGGACTCGGCGAGGGAGAAGCCAGTCGTGGAACAGATGAGCGTTCAGCTCGGAGAACACGAGGAGAGCAGCAGTTTGAGGAGAGGTAACAAGGATGTAACAGCTGGAAACAGGTTAGCGCTGTCAGCCTTAAAGTTTAAATGGACTAATTGGCATGGGATTACATTCATACTTGTATGTTATTCCACCTTTGGTGTTGTCTTGGTATTATGTGCAATCACACAAGGGGTGTATCAAGAAAAAATATTGATACAATTGACTATCGCGATCTTACATTTTGTGATACCATATCGATTCTCAAAAACAATGCATCAAGTATGTCTGTGTCATTTTCTATTCTAGCTTAATTTAGACATAAAGAGTCCTTCAGCACTCTTTCATTTTGTATCTAAATCAGGGGGGTCAAACTCAATTTCATCGCGGGCCACATTAGCATTATGGGCCGGTTGTAACTTTCAATCTCAATCTTTATTTATTTATATAGCACATTTAAAACCACCTCAGTTGACCAAAGTGCAGGGAACAGGGAGTAAAATAATAAAACAATAATTAAAAACAAGATAAAAAGCACAATAACTATTATTGGATAGGGTAACAACTTCATAATTAACTAAATCTGAAAGCAGAAGTCTAGGGCAATGTTCAGTGTGCATGTCACAAAATGAGATGCATTGTGGGACATGTAGTTTATGTACAACGTGCTTCTGTAAAGCGGCATTCAACCGTGTAATAAACATATTATATTCTTTGCAAGCTCTTGCAGGGCCACATAAAATGAAGTTGAGGGCCGGATTTGGCCCCCGGGCCTTGAGTTTGACACCCCTGATCTAAATTATTAAAATGTTGCAGAAATGTAGTGCAAGGGTGTTGAAAGCTAAATGCTAATTATTTTCCCACTGTTACGAAAACATAAACAAAAAAAAAATCTTTATTCAGATTGAATGCATGTGGTGGTTTGTTATTGTGCCCTATAATTACAAATAGCAATATACTGCCTTTCTTACAATGTATTGCAATATATTTTATCACAACGCGTGTATGAAGCGTTTGGTATCCCCATTTCCTAAATCATACAAATATAAATATGTTATGATATTACCACTTTCATGGTCGAAGGTAATGCAGCAACATTAATAAGTGAAGCAAAAAGGAGAGACTTTGTTCACTGTGATGTATAACTTGGGCATTTGGAGCACGTCTTTATAGTCCTTAAAGTCTTGTATGTATTTAGAAGTATGTAAGTAAGTGCACATTTTAATGAGTATAACACATCCCTTAACGTTTCAATACTTCTCATTATTGTCATGGCACTGTTCCCACTGTTGTCTTGGTACAGTACTCATCTTCAGCCAATAACTCCGATGACATTTAGACCCTACTTTGAGAATAATGGTTTGAATCAAGAACATCTTAACCAACGACTGGAGAAAATACCTTTTGAATAGGAATTAGAGAAAGAGAACATGGCTGTAATTGTGGTTCAACCGATTTGCTTTAGGCTTCCTGTGATGAGCAGGTTAAGTGGGGTGACAATAATACTTTGGTAATCAAAGACAATTTACCACACTATAATTCCAGCGAGGGGCAAAAGTTCAACAAATTACATTTAAGGCAAATGAAAAAGTAAGCCATGCAAACTAGTTCAAAGAGAAAACAGGAAATGTGTCTTTGCGTTTGTAAAAACACATTTCGGGTAATTACTTAAAGAACTCCCCCCCCCCCCCCCCTGTAATGCTTCTTCAGTTTATTTTAAAATGTAAATTAGTGTGTGCTCAAAACTGCATGCATCCAGGCATCAAGAGTAAATTGTGCTTTTTTTTAAGGTACCTGTAATTGAAATAACTCCAGAACAAATTTGTATAAAATGTTCAATTCAGTAGCAGTGAATTCATGAATCATGAGCAATGTGCCTTCCTCCAGTCTCCTCACACATGTCTGATCCTAGAATGTTCATTAAAGTGGGAAAATAATGCAAATTAATTTCCAAAGAAAATCTAGGCGCAAAGTAATTATGTAAAGCAACTGGAAGCTGCTC